TAAATAACAATTACCATTGGATTGAAATAGTAAGAGTTAATAGGTATAAAGATTACATATCACTTGGATTGAATGAGATAACACATTTGCGAAAAATTAAAACTACTATCACTTGGGTTGGAATGGAAAGACCAATGGGAATACAAAGATGGGGATACAAAGATACATATCAGTTAGAACGTATTTTTTTTTAATCTTCACTTTTATAAAATTTTTTTATGAGATTGTAATTTGGCAGTTATTAATATCAAATATTTTGTACAAGTCATATACATATGACTTGAAGTAATTGAGTAATGAAACGTAATTTTTATGGAATCATAACTTGGCGCCATTTATTGATATCAAATCTTTTGTATAAAAAATATATATTTTATAGAAAATAGAAAATTATTTTATATGTATTTTTTCTACAAGTAATACATATTACTTAATTTTTTTAAAATTATTTTATTTTACTAACAATTGCAAATTTTGGCGCTAATTTTTTATAGCGAAACATTTGTACGGAGAACGCGTATACTTGGCTTTTTTACCTCTTTTTTTTAAACAGGTAATTTTGAACGGATATCATATCTTTTTTTAGTAACTTTTACCATTGATTAATATATTTCAATATTTACATTTGGCAAGAAAGTAAAAATTTCAATAGATCTTCGTAATAGTTATTTTTACACTACTACAACATACACGTTTAATTTATGTATATGTACATTACTATTTAAATTACAACTTTAAATTTTTGACCAAAAGTAATTTCAACTTCATCTTTCTTTATTTTTGAATTATATTTAACAGTAGTAATATTATTACAAGTAGTATTATTAATGTGTAATAATAATTATGCTCATAGCATTATTATCAAATTGATAATTAATTTAAAATAATTTGTGATATAACCTTGATTTTGATTTTTAACTCTAGGTATACACACCGTTTTTTTGACGATGTCGTATACATACTGGGATCCCGAGGACCCCATCCATATTTATTACTGTAATTCTATTAAAAATGGACATATTTCAATTAATTTTTTTTTCAATTGATAGAGAATCGACCAAGGAATAAGCCCATAATGTTTGAAAGTCAATAGAATTAAGTAACTCTAAGATATATGGGTTCAAAGAAAAAGGAAAGTTCAAAAACGCGAAGAATCTCGATTTAGCACCTTTTTTTTTTTAAATTATATCTCTTTTGTTTATAGATCGATTTGAAAAATCCTTGAAAATTCTGAAAGGGCATACTTAAGATAGTAACAAAAAATTTGGCTATCCGATATTTGAATTTTTTAGCACCAATTACTGATAATTTCTAAATTCATTTATTTACGTGACTTCAAAGTGTACCAAGTTTCATTAAAATCAGAATTTGACACTTCGCGAGGTTCCCTTGTAAGTAATATGCGATTATCACAACAAATCAAGATGATGTCATCTTTTCACATTAATTTTAAATGTCAATGTGATCATTATGAGTTGCTTTGCTATTTTAAATACGTTTATAATGTATGCGCAGAAATATATCTATGCCTTTTATGTATGTTGTCTTTTGTATTAGACATTAAATATATATATAGCTATTGTATTATTTCTATGGAAATGCGGTTTATTTAATATCTTTTAAATATACATATGCATAACAGAAACCTTAAAATTCCCATCATTTTACAAATACAATACAATGTTTACAGACAAAAATATATTTTGAGTAAAAAATGATTTCCTTTTCCCTGAAAGCTCTG